TGGTTTGATATATTATTGTTTCATGTTTACTTTAAGTTTTGGATTTTGTTATTAAATACAATGAAAGAAGTGGCTCTAACAAATTGGGTTTTAATTTAATATATTTAAGGGCACAACAATCCTACAAAATACAATATGGACTCGACATAAGAGACGAAGACAACAGATGTTTGAAAGTTCAAAGGTCACTCGGAACCCTCAAGCTCTGACAGTCTTTGTTAAAGATCGATACTAGAATATGTCTTTTTGTCTACTTGCTTTCAAAGTTGTGTCATCAAACAATTTAATGAAGTTTCTTAAATTAATACAACTACTTTTTACTTAATCTTTTCCTGTTTACTTGAATTCACAAAATAGAAACACTTACTTTTAACGCTCAATTTTATTTAGCAAGTAGTATCAATCATCGATGTATAATAACTCTACATTATTATACATCGATGGTATCAATAAGTAAGCCTAATATTAGCGAAATTAGTTGAGATGTCTATATATTTGTAATGACCTTTTGCACTTCAATTTACATACCGTTAAAACTACATAATACATTTATTACATCATCCCGGAAAAAACGATAGAAGGCTTCACAACTTTATCGTTTGAATCAATTAAAATCAGCGAGTACTTCGAACATAACGAAAACGCAGATGATATAAAAAAGTCCTTTTGATTTTTACTTTTTAATATGAAAATAATAGATTTTACTTTATAAATTGAATAAAGGTACATGCCTTTAATGTATCAGAAAAAAAATTGTGAATTATAGATACAATACTATAATATTACAATAAAATCTGGTAATAATTGGTACTTTTCAATTATCTCGCCACTTTAAATATTATTGCGTAATTTTGGTTAATTAGTTGTAACGCTAACATAGCAAATCTTGAAAAATTTAGGAAATTGACAGGAAAGCAGGCTTACCTTTAAATAAGTCCATAGAGACACATAAAACCTCACAAAAGTAAAAGTAGAAATTTTCGTGGTCACTGACCACTTTTTCAACCACTGGAGATTGGAGAAATGGCAATAGCAGTTGCAATTTGAATCTATTACCTTTATTTATTTATCACATAACCTTGAAAAATATGCATTTATATATTCTGACTTATTCTATGTTATTTATAACCGTACTATACCGAACGTAGGCTACACAATAAAAACTGTGAGATTTAAATAAATAAAAAAATCCTCAACAAAAATTTACTTAAGTTTTACACTTAACAGTAGCGTGTGTGATCTCCATATACAAACCTAACCTATTTAACTTTTACATTGTATTTTCTATACACAGTTTGACCTGTATATTTTGTATGATTTTAACAACTGTATATAGCCTTACCTAACTTGGCCAAAATGAACAATGACATCACAGGGGCGAAAAGTACCTGTAAGAGTTATAGGTAACACGTTTTATATGATTACAATGCCTTGCTTACCTAGCCGAATGTCTGAAATAAAATAAAGTAGAGTAAAGTAGAGAAAGTAAAAAGTACCCTTTACTTTTAACTTTTACACCTTGTAGAAATAGTGTGTCGGCTCATAGTTTGTAAAATGAAGATACGTTGGGGACTAAGTAAAGTCCGAGTGTATGACATCCAAGCAAAAAGCCTTCGTTACATATTTACTTACACATCAGACGTCTTGACTATTTCCCTGCACTTGGTTGAAAAGGTCACTTGCATTTCTGCAGAATATTTGTATTAAATTCTTGTTTATTTTACTGTGGATCGTGTTTTGTTTTACCATTCAAGTTTGTTGGTTTATTAAAGTTTTTCCTCTAATTGTAAAGGGATTTTCCTCAAAAGTTTGCATTTTAGTATGGCCTTTATTAAGGTTTAAATATTAATTTCTTACTACAACTCAATTAAGTCTAAATTTAGTAGTTTAACCACACAGTTTGAAGTTCCGAAATGAATTGTTTTTGTATTTTGCAGAAGGTATCTGCACTTTTTTCTACCCATATCTAAAAACAGTGATTAGCCTAATTGTGTCAAATTTTATTTTGATGTCAATATAACAATGGTTGTGTTTTTATACAACTCGTTTTTACTTATTCTTTATTTTTCTAGTTATTACGTTTGTAATTTATAAATTTAACATCTTTGTATACGTTGGATACGTAACATCATAATATAACAATTATTTTTCAGTTCACTTTTTGAGCATATTCGCCGTTTTTATTTAGTTAGGCTATGTTTTTTTTATTTTCACGGACTAAATTCATCATACATTGATTTAGAGGTTCTGACTCTGAATGAAATTTTTAAAGAATCATTAGGTTCTTTTCCAAAAGGAACTATACAAGTATTTATTTTTGTACAGTAAAATGTTTAGTTTTGTACCCAGCGTAGATTAAAGTTAAAAAATACGTCATAAATTAAAGTTGTATGGTCACAAAACGTTTTTATTAACAATTCTTAGAGCTTTTAAACAATTTGTACTTGGTACATTGATTCAAAATATAAATTGGCTTTATATTCTTGAAGACTCAAATGGAAATTAAATAAATCTACTGTACATTATTTCTGTTTTTTATCAAGATAAAAATCATAGCTATCAAATTTTGCGTCAATCTCACTAAATGGTAAACAAATTGCGACAATCAATTCAAGTTACTTTAAATAATAGGTTGAAGTCCACAACAAAAAAAGAAACTTTCAAATAACCGATGAAAGTTGCAAACTAAATTTAACTTGAAAACATTATTTAACGTCCAATTAAAAAGTTGAAATTGCCCCAAGTTGAGATTGACGTGTTTAAGACGGGTCTTGAGCAAATAACAAGAAACTGTTGACTGTTTGGAAGGCAACGTCACAATATTAAAACAGTCTCGGCTTGATCGATTTAAACTTTCTTGTCGTATCGATGTTATTCAAAATCAAAATAAATCGTTACATACAAATGTCACCAATTATTTGAGAAAAACTTATTGTAAAATGTTTTAACAAGTCAATTCAGTCTATTTACAACAAAGAAATTGGTTTTGATTTGAGAAGTTAGAACGAAATGGTTGTAAATATTTATACGAGGAAAACTGTTGTTGGAATTTTAAATGTATACGTGTTTAGAGTACATATCACACATGAATTAAGGAACTGTTTTTCCGCGAACTCTTGGTTCCGCGAATCATCTGTAAATTTATTGAGCTAATTATTTATTTCTGATTCTTATATCTGCTTTGTTTTCGTTAACAATTAAAACCAAAACCTGAAGGATCAAAATGATTAAATTGTGCTTCATTTATTGGACAAGCATGTTGAAAATTGTTTAATGTACTTTTTTCTGGTTGAATGTAAAGATATGTTTAGCACTTTGCTTGAAATATGGTCTTGACCCTGCGAAAACTAATTTTTGGGTCTTAGTGATACATTTTGTGATATTGTGTGTGGCGTTATTATTTAACTACTTTTCTTAATAATGCCCTTAAACATTTCAAAATCTTGGAGACCAATAAGGTGGATTTTAAATATTTATAATTATTTAAAGTTTCTTCTTTTACAATTTTTTAGCCAGTTTAATACAGTTGTAGGTATATACTTTTTTTTATAAATATTCAACAAATGAGTCATGACGATTTTTGAAAGTAGATATTTTACTGAATAAATGTTTAAACGCTCTTATAGTGGAAAAAATAATGCTTATTTGTAGAATCGCGCAATATGAAGACAGGTTCTCTGAAAATATTTCATAATGGAATTGTTTAGTGAAGAAAGTAAAGGAAGCGGAAAATTGGATGAAGAAATTTCTTTAGGATCTGGAGGTAAACTGGAGAACGTCTTAAGACTTATTGAAAGTGCCTAAAGCACCGGCTTGTTAGTAGCCTGATGTAAACCAATTAGGACATATTGTTTGAGGAATTAATTAAACAATTACACTTTTTTCGATTTATTTTCTTATTGTTATTTAGGACAACCTTAAACAGTTTTATCCCAAGAAAACGTAGTGTCAACAGTTTCTAAATTCTCAACAATGTGTTTTTAGTGAATTATCATCTCAAACAGTGACCTAATATATCTGCTAAGGGTTTAGTTAGCAAATTCGCTGTCATAAGCCAGATTATTTAAATCATGAAAATAAAATTTTTTTAAAGAAGATAGCTAACAATAAGACAACAGTTTTGCATATTATACTAATTTTCAAGCTTAATTGAAGATATTTTCCATAATTATAAGGAATAACTTCTTGATCAGCATTGTACGTGTTATTAAATTTACGGAAAGTAAATAAAGATACGTCTTATAACACTTCAAACATATATTTACTCTTATACTGTTACTCACAAGGCGGTAAATATACAAAAGATGGTAAGTGGTGATCGATTTCGATTGGACACTCCAATCATCATCAAACCCACAGATTCGCCTATTGGGTCTGATGATGATTGAAGTGTCCTATCGAAACCGATCACCACTTACCATATTTTGTATATTTACTGTCTTGTAAGTAACAGTATAAAAGTAAATATATGTTTTAAGTGTTATAAGACGTATCTTTATTTACTTTCCGTAATTATAAGGAAGGGATACTATCTCTACTCTGCTCCATAACTAATTATTTTTAGAACTTAAGATCTCAACATCTTCCTGAAACCATCAGGTGGTTTCTGTTTTTATTTTCAGTTATAGAAAATGTCAACAATTATTCTTGAATCAACAAAAACTTACCATTAATAAACTTACAACAAACATTACTTAGTTGGTACTTTAAAAGTACCTAGTTATAGGTTAATAGTGAGTATCTCTGTGTGTTAGTTGTGAGTTAATTTCTGATCATATCGATCACACACACACACACACACACACACACACACACGCACACACACAATGTCTAGTTATAGATATATTTGAAAAACATACTTTTAACATTATTGTCAAAGAAATACCATATCCGATTATATTTCCCGAAAAATTGGATTCATTAAAATGAAGAGGACCGTAAAACTCTCTAATAATCAATGTTTGTTGAACAATTTGTACAAAGTCTCTCTTATTCCTCAGATCACCTGGAGTGGAGGGTGGCGGACTGGGGGCCTTGCCTCCCTGGAGACTCGGAGCTCTCCAAGATGGGAGCTGGCTCCATGGAGCGTAACGTTACCTGCGTATTAACTTCACATGAGGGGTTCCAGGTAAGCTTTAGCTTTTATTTTGATTATTTGAACCCAATGATAGCCAAGCCCTGGTATTTACACTACCTAAAGCCAATTGTTAGTTCAACTAAGTTCAGAATCGATGTTGCCTAAAATCAAATCAACGATTCTCATTTGAAAACGAGCACTACAACCACCAAGCTACTAATATAATTGATGCGATTGATAATTGATTCAATGTCTTTGGTAAGAAAAAAGCGTTGTTAGTGGATATCATTTTTATTGGTAGTGGATCTTATTGTTGATCTTTTGTGGGATGTTATTGGTTGATAGCCCTATGAAAAAAATGCATCTGGGTGGGGAGCGAGTGGCGTAGTGGTTAGAGCGCGGGACTTCAGTCCCTGAGGTCCTGGGTTTGATCCCCGCCAAGTCACCAATGGATTTTATCCAAGTGATAATGCCGCAACCCCTAGGTCTAGCCTGAAGTAATGTGAAAAACAATCCCAGACTCGTGCCTAGCGTTCTAGGACAAACAAATTGGTTGATAGCCCTATGAAAAAAATTGCATCTGGGTCCGGAATCGATTTTGTTTAAAATATAACCAGCGACCTTCAGATTTGAAGGCAAACAGTTTTTTACGCTTTTGGCCATTTTAACTTTTTGTGAATAAACAGCAAAAAAGTTGCCTTTTTGTTGTCAAATGCTGATCTTTTTTTAGATATAAGCATTCATTGATAGCCCGTTGACCAATGGCATGTTGGTTCTCACTCGACTTAGATTCAATGGGTTTCAGCAACTATTGTCTACTGTAGTCGGAATCGATAAGTGAGTTTGTGAAATAACAAAGCTTCAAAGTTCCCACGATTCTTTCTACAGTCACAAATAGATTTTGCTATGTTATTCTTGAGAATGACTTCCAAAATGTTAAGTATCTACATAACGATGTACTTTTTTTTAGTCTTATTTACAACTTTTTCTCTCTATATAAATGAATCTGTAACTTTCTTAATGTGTTTATATTCCTTAAGACAAATCAGCCATCAGACAAGTTACATGTCATTCAAATTTCTATAAGATAATTCGAATCATCCAATCACGATAGCGAACATTACGTCATTTCACTACATATAATAGACTTATCTATTTTCCTACGATTCGACAAGATTTGTATTCCTTAGGGGGTTTATTATCTGAACAAAATTACTTTTTGAACAAGGAAGAATATCTCAATGAGGCACAAACAAATTTTAAACCCTCATAGAGATGGTTAATTCTGAACCATTTATTACAATTTATCCTTCCTCGGCTTATTTTCCCATAAAACATTCTATATTCAACCATGTTAATGGTTGGTTACATGTATTGCCTACTACACTTACATATATATTTACATATTATGAATGATATATTTGTAACACTATAAGAAGTAAAATTCGCCTTTTTCCTTATTAATCCACCTCATTTCTCCATCTACAAAGATCGAAAGTAACATTCTTCGATGATTCTGTACAAAACGTTATTCAAAACTAATAGTAGTGTTTTATTAGAAAAAGTCCTACAACACTAATAAAGAGCTTGTTTGAGCATAGGAAAGATAAGAAATTTTAACAAAATCCATGCATACAATCCATACTCCCCTTATTTTCCATCTGCTAGTGAAATAGAATCTTCCCAAAACACCTTAACAAACGCCTCTTACCAAAAGACAATGAAAGTAAGCAGATAAGAAGACCACAATATAACCATACAATAGTCTACCGCTACCCTGCAACTTTAAGCTGCCACAAGCGCAATATCAGCCCCAAACTTACCTCATTGTTTTCGATCTAACAGTCCTCTCCATTCCGGTTTAGTGTTGTACTTCCAAAGTACTTTTATGTAGGGAAACACCTTGTGGGGTCCCAACTGATTGTCTCGTTGAGTTATTGGTTTAACAAGATTTCTTATTTCTGGGACAGTTTTTAAAAATGTTAAGTTAAAAATTTCTTTGAAATGAATAAAATTACAAAATAGGTACTTGGAAGAAATATATTTCAACCAATTAGGAAAATCCAACTTGATATTTAAGTATTGTATGAATCACCGTAATCCATGAAATCCATGTACACCAAAAAGAAGTACCATGAATACCAGAAGCTAGTTCTAAGTTCAGTAGAAAAATATTCACAAAAACTACGCAAATGATAGTCTTTATCGCCTCAAGAGGAGATTTTGCTTTTCATTTTATTTTTTTTATTTTTAATTCTTACACTAACAGGTGCAATATGAATTAAAGTTCGGTGTAGTTGTGTGTTGTGAACACACAATATTAACATAAAATAATACAAACTAAATTAAATTAATTCATTAACGCCTAAGCGTTGTCTTTTCCAGGTGCTTCACAAAATGCATGCCACAAACTAAAACTTGAACTGTGATCTCCTAATCAAATCAATTCACATTCAGAAATTTGATTATGTCATCATCCCAGTATTTGAAAATCTACATCGGATTCTCCAAAACATAAAATTGCCTATATACAACGAATACAGATCTCATGAATAGATTTACTAAAACGTTCCATATGACAACTATGTGACACTTTTCTCAAAATTACCAGACGCAAATTAAAACGTTTTGAAATAAAACGAAAGAATTTACTCAAACGAGTCGTATAAACGGTGTTGCTCCAGCGACAACATTCAGCTGGCCAAGTTGCGGGGTACAATAAGAAGTTGGTTTTAAGGGAGTAACAAAAACCTACATTACACTAAACTTGGCCCAACTTACGTCCGGAGACAGATAAAAACCCGGTGCAATATGGAGGGCAAGTTCCACCTTGTAGGACTTACCTCGTAAAGTTCCCTCGTTGTGAAGTAACCTGTGCATAAAGTTTGTAGATCTAACTGAATATTACTAATTACCATAATGCAAAGTATAGAACAGGTTTTGTTAATCTTTTCGTAATAAAAACTAGATTCGGCCATCGATCTTTTGTTTTTAATATATTATTTACCGGTACTTTTATTTTGGAGGACTTGTGGGAATATTTTATGACGTAATCAAAAAATGGGTGACATCTCTCTTTTCCAGTTGTCTAAAAAAAAGTAGGTCAACATTTGATTGTGGTCTAAGAAATTATCTTGAAAATTGTGTTTTTATTGACAATTTTTTACTCTTAAATTTTCTGTAAAAAATACTGAGCATATTGAATAAAGCCTGTGTCATACTAGCTAGTGTGCGCTCTACATCAGCTCGAAAATCTCAGCTACGGCTTCAGTGGCTATGTTGCGCCATTGAACAGCACCGCGAAAGCGCTTGCAGAGGTTCAAAGGCCCTGGCCTTTGTAAATTACCAATACATGCTAGTAAAAAACAGTAAACGGGGTTTTAAATAACAAAGAACCATCCATACTACCTTGATTTTAGAATTTTTCAGATACGATTCTTTAATAAGTTAAAGCAGTTTAAAATTGCCGTTTTTCGTCTTCATTCAAAAGAATATTTTATGCTTTATGGTACGATATTTAACTTAATAGTCTTCAAAATGCCATCCTAACTTTGATTCTACGTTAAGTGTAACCTTTGGAAACCCGGGGACCCCAAACCCTTGTGTTTATACGAAACGGCAGAAGTAGGGTGGACCATAACTCAACCCAAGCTCAATTGTAACAGGTTTTGATATTTTTGTAAGAATCCACTTAAGAAACAGAAACCGATTCATTTGATGAACCATCTTTTAAAAATTTTTATAAGTTTGATTGAACTGTTCTTTTCCAATAGATCGAGGCTCTAGTAGGTATTTTCCTTGGTAAAGGAAAACTGATTCTAGGGGTCCCAAAATCTAGAGGTTTCAAAATCAATTGTACTAGATATTTATTTCCTACAGTCTAGTTCCAAACACGATCATAATTATTAGAAAATAAATTTGAAAATGTACTTCCCTGCATTCTCCGTAACATTTATTACTTCTAACAATTAACCGTGTGTAATATTTTTTTCTAAACGTGTCATGCTATGGAAGCCACTAATTAGTCAGTTTTCCCTAAAATATTTGTACATTTTGTAAACCTTTTCACCCAAGTTGTATTAAGGAGACTACAAGCCCGGATAAGCTTATTTGTAGACAGAGGAGATTGCCAACAATGAGTGTGTTCTTTACTATTGTTAAACTGTTCTTTGTGGTGTCTTCCCTTCACAACTGTGGATTTTAGGATAAGTCACTTTATCTAGTCCAGTCTTACTTTGAAAAAATAAAAATAACAACTGTAGAATTGCTATAATTTATTTTCAAACATTTCAAAATTACGATGATTGAAAAGCTTACTTAAATGCTTGAAAAAGATTAAAGGTGTGTGCCTTGATTGCGTCCATGTCTACTAAATGTTCTGTCTTGTCTTTTACTTTAGGATACATTGTCGACTGTGCACCGTACTCATTGGTATTAGGGCCCTAAACAATCAATATCTTGTAAATTATTATTATTTATTCGTAGGAATAGTACTGTAAATAACGATAAATAAACCATACGATTCAAACACTTACAAATTACTCGTAAATTTATCTAAATCAGACAAAAGGAGATAAACTAATAATCCCAATATCATGAGCTAAATAGCTTGTCGATCAATGACTAACATAATCAATAACTAAAGTATAACAGAGATAGTTCTTCTTTCCGCTATATTTTTTTATATGGACTGGCTTACAAGTTCGGGTACGTGCCGGTCCACCATGTATCTGTACATTTACATAGCTAAAAACAATAGCGAATGGCAGGATTTGAACCTGCAGCACCAAGCTTGAATTTCCAACTTTGACTGGAGTGTCAATAATATATGATGGGTTGTAGTCTGAGCAGCAGGTGTCTAGCCTGGAACTGTTTTACACATTACTTCAATGTGTAAGAGCTAGTCCTACTACTTCTGTCCTATTACTTCTGGCTAGTCCTAGAGAGTTGCAGCATTATCACATAGATAAAATCTTTTGATGATTGGCGGGAATTGAACCCGGGATCTGAACTCACCAGATCACTAAATCAGCTCACCCCCCTACTTTGAGTGGAGTGCCAATAGCATGTGATGGGTTGTATTATGAGCACTAGGGGTTGGGGTGTTAACTGTGGGGGGTATTTGGCAGGGTGGGTAGGCGCGTATCGCCATTCCACACCATTTCTTTCACAAAGAACTTTATTACCCTCGGTTTGGTTATTCTCTGCAATCATTTCTTCGCACGACTTCGTTATTTCGCTAACGAATTACTTTGTTTTGTTTAGTTTTTTTTTAGTTTTTTTAGCAGTACAGTAATAGAATATTTGAGAAATTGTGTTTAGTTTCTTAGATAACATGGAAGATAAGTAAAACCTTTAAAATACTTGTGTGTTTAACATTAAATGTATATATATTTGTGTAGATATATATTTAAGCTTGTGATTTCCCAAATAACATTATTTGCCCCAATAACATTATTTTGTACTGTTGATTATTTTTGTAAATGTATTGTAAACCTCCTACAATGAACTAATTACTGTAAATGATACGGAATCCGTATCATTCACAGTTTACAGTTACAAAGTATCCGTATTACGGATACTTGTAATGTAATGTGTACTTGTAATGTGGTTGGTGATTTTTTCTAAATAATCGGTTTTCAATTTAAATAAAGATATTTATTTCAATAAATACACCGATTTACCGTGTCATTTAAATTGCAAATGTTAATTTTCCTTAGTGGTTGTACCAAATGTGTATTTAACATAATTATATTTTTAATTCATTTTTTGTTATTAATTTACTAATCTTTATTTGTACCGTTAAGCCTAATTCGTACCTCAGCTTTGAGACACAAGACTCAAGCAATTATTAACTTGTAAAACAAAAATGTTAATCGATATTGGTCATAGACCTACGGTTTTCGTGTTTTAGTACAATTTTAAGGGATATTTAAATCGAATGAATTGGTAAATAAGTTATTTCAGACTTCATCACCAACCTATTGTGTTTTTTCACATATTTTACAACTCATCAAACCAAAACACTAACAGTATTATCACCACTGCATTTTATTTTGAATTTGAAAAATGTTTTATTCACCAAACGTATTATGATTAAACAATATTTTAAGTACTAAGTGTCACCGAGCAACCATGCAGGACAAGTTTATTAAAAGTTGTAAGCTTTCTAAGAAACGTCGAAGAAAAGCGTAATGGCCTGGTGAGAGCGATTCTAACAGTTTCCTTCGGGCTGCGACGTCGCTGATTAAAGAAGTTATTAAATTCCCTCTGAGCCAATGAAGCATGAAACGCCAAAAGCGTAATTGATTTGGCTTTCGGCTAAAAGGTTCAATTTTATTTTCTTCAGGAAAGTTCAGTCATATGCTTTTCATATTGAAACCACTGGAAACAAATTTTGTTTCCACACTTTGTTATGTTCTTGCGCAATATAAAATTATGAAATGTGTGCTTCATTTCATTAAACTAATTTGGCTTTCGGTGAAAAGGTTGGTTTTTATTTTTCTCTCTAATGTACAGGCAAATAGTTTCTCTCTTTTACAGCATAACCGCTGAAAATAAATTTTTATTCGTGGTTTTCGTCAGCAATAATGTTTGTGTTTTTCTTAGCAATAACAACTTAACACTTCAGTTTTGATGGGATTTTCGATACTGTCAAGTGTCTCAATGTAGATTAAAGTAGAATATAAATCAATTCTACGCGTTTGTAATTCTAGAAAATTAAAAGACATCCTAGAATATTCAGGTCGTAGCAATGTAAAATCATACATTACATGTGTCTTAGAAATTTAATATTAAAGTTACTACGAGACTAATTTGAAAGCAATACTTCAGATATTTAAAAACTATTACATTCTTTATCCATTCAACTTTATGAGTCATTATCATAATTCAAAATATAGGTATCGTCATATGTATGATGATGAAAAATCCCTGGATATTATAGCTAGCTATACTTCCAATCTCAAACTTGAACTAAGACTTTACTTAAGTACTTTAAAGCTAATATTATAAACCTCTCTATGGATACTTTTTTTGTCAGATCCAATTATGAAGTTAGGCTAAATTTGAATTTTACTTGAAGGACATAATAAAAAACCCTGTTTTAAAAAGTGTCAAATCATCTTGTAAAGTAAAGCTGGTTTTTGTCTACTCGTGTACCTAAAAAATGTGAAACCAGTTGAACCAAATAGGCTGATATTTCAGGCAAATGTGAAATCGATTAACAAGGGTGTGATATTAACCTCCACTTTTTGCCATTTGATTTCTCTTATTAAACACTTTAAAATGAGAGGTCACTTGATAGGGGCTTACCTATGAAAATCTGGGCTGCCCCCAAAATACCCCATTTTGGGGGACAGGCCAAAGTTGTGATTTTGATGAAAAATTGCAGTTTTTTATGTTTTAAACATGTGCCGATTTTGTTTTCCTACCTCTACGCGTTAAAAAGTTAAATGGGGATGTCCAGATTCTTGCTTGCCCATCTCAAGTTTTAAAATGGCTACCATTTTGGTTAGGAGTGTGATATCGACCTCCGGTTTGGGCCATTTTTTATGTTGTAAACATATGCCAATTTTGATTTTCCTACTGCAGCTCACCCCCCTACTTTGACTGGAGTGCCAATAGCATGTGATGGGCTGTATTATGAGTGACGGTTGAAAAGTTAACTGGGTGTGTCTAGACTTTTGCCTAATCCTGTAGCCTATGTCTTGTCTTTCTGTACCAATCCCAGTAAACCCCTTGTTTGTTGTAGAACTCTCTGCAGATAGACGAAGAGAACTGTCTGTTAGTGTCCACCAAGCCGGAGACTCAGAGGGACTGTACCCTGCCCACTCAGCAGGACTGTGTGCTGACGGAGTGGTCATCCTGGACCTCCTGTTGTGACGGTACTCAGCACCGGACCAGGAGTGTGCTGGTAGCGCCGCACTACGGTGGACAGTCCTGCCCTCAGGTAAAATAAATACCGTGATTAGTAGAGTAACCTAACCTAACATAACCTAACCTAACCCAGGTTAATCTAACGTTACTTAACCTGACCTGACCTAACCTAAACTAGTCTAACATTACCTATCCTAACCCAAACTAACCTAACCAAGCCTAATCTAACGTTACCCAACCTAACCTAATCTACTCTTACCTAACCTAATCGAAACTAACCTAACCTAAACGTAACTAACCTAACCAATCTAACTTAATCCAAACTAACCTAACCGAACCGAACCTAATCCAACCTAACCTAATATAAACTAACCTAACCTATCTAACCTAACCTTATCTAACGTCACCTAACCTAACCTAAACTAAACTAAACTAATTCAACCCAACCTAATCTAAACTAACATTACCTAACCTAACCTAATCCAACCTAAACTAAACTAAACTAATCCACCCTAACCTAATCTAAACTAACCTAACCTAAACTAACCTTACCTAACCTAGCCTAATCTAACCTAACCTTATATCTATTGTTTTCTATGCTAACGCTTCAACCAGTTTTAGAACAAAAGTCAACACAGTTGAACTTTGCCACCAATAAAGTGAGATAATATAAATTATCAATATCTGTCAAACATGCAGTTTTCATCATGGCAAACTGAAAGGGGGCTAATGCCTTTATGCCATATCAAAAATTATAGTAACAAAAACTGAAAGAGATAATCGAATTTTGATACCAACTCACTAACTCACTCGGTCTATTCAACCATGTTTTGTTAAAATAAATACCATTTACTGCTGGTCCATACAGATGGGACGTGTACTTCGGTGTCAATGCTTAATAATGAACACTTTCAATACTTTTATTGAATTTATCTATAGAAAAGTAGCTATTACCACGGTAAGGCCTGAGCCTTGGACCGATTTTCTTTTTTAATTTTGATGTCCCCAGAGGCGAAAAAACTCTTCGTTCAAATTTTTATATCATATAGATGTATTGAAAAATATGGCTTGCCTGTGTAGGGTGGGATAAAATTGAAAGAGTTTGTAAACCAGCAAGATCGGGTTATGGAAACGGGGTATAGAAACGGGGGATGGTTGTTTGTTTGTATATGGAGTATTGCAATTCTCTAAAATTGATTTAAAATTTTTACCATTAAAATATCGGAATGCCAACTTTTGAATACAACCATTGTGTAGAACTAAAAAAACCAAACCATTGTGTATAATATAACATTGTTGTACAATAACAGGTAACGGAGAAAAATCAAAATACATTTTTTATTTTCATGGTAAAAAAGAAAACTTTTGTACATTGGTTTGCTTGGGTATGGATTTATGTTCATCAAATTTGATTAATCTATTTATTTAATCTACTATTAACATTTAGTAAAAAACACTTTTTACCCTCTCCGTAGCAGCAAACCTAGGAACTCGTTAAATCTATTGTTATTTAAGTGGGGAATAAGTATGTATTGTTTATGGAATTATTTTGGTAAAAATCCAATCAGACGAATTGAAATTCACTTAGTCTGGATTAGAGGAGTGTGGAATCGTAATATAAAGCCATGAACCAATGAGCTAGTTGACGCCCGTATTTGGTACCAACATCTTGATTTTCTAGCAGAGTTGCCGTGCCAGTGCTAAATTCAGTTGTAATTCTAGCTCAGTGTTTTGACTCAGTCACAATCACTTCATCAAGACAACAAAAAGATTTTTAACGTATTTAGCTGACTCGATTGCTCAATTATTGATATCGCGACAAACCACAATCCAAAGGCAGCGGGTTCGTCTCTTGGTTCAGCCAATAAAATATAATTTAAAAGTACATTTCATTCTGAAATTGTATCGAATCACTTCTGACTTGCATTTTTAAGTTCACATATGTTATTCCCAATATCCCATATCGTCTGGCAAACGTAATGATAAATGATATCACTAACCTCTTCAGAGGGTTGAAATTTTAACTTTAAGGATGTTTCCTACTCAAAAACTATTATCACTATAGTGACCTAGTTTCAGTTTAAATGTAGGTACCAACTTTATGAAAACACTTGACAAACAACTGTATGACAACGAACAAGTGAACTCATTAAAACACAACCTACATTCACCATGTTAACGACATGGTGCATTCATAAGAGTAGAGCACCTGCATTTTATAACACTTCCGTTATGAGAATGTTGGCTTCAGAAAGCATATTGCCCTAGAAAAATATATAAATATGCTTTAAGTGTGGACTGTAAGTCTGTAAGTTTTCAATGTATGCTTTTTTATTATAAGTGGAGTACGAAATTTGTTATTTAAAGCTACTGAAGCAACTGTTTATTTATAGATTAACTAAAATATAGTTTGTTAAATATATTTTTTTACAAATGTTAAAGATGAGCAATATGAGAATCGTCAACAAATGTCATCAAAATATAATTACTATTGGCAAAACAACTTCTTACTACTAACGATTTTATATAAATAAATACTTAAAGCTACTGAAAATGTACAGTATTTTAAACATAAGAATAGTTTTTAATTGCCTAAATTTTATATTAATTTTTTTAAAGCTTAAATAAACAATAAATTCAAAATAAATTTATTTTATCCTGCAACAGAATAATTATTATTGAACAATAAATTACTTGAAACACATTTTTAATTAACTTTGAACATTAATTAAACATATTCATTGAAATTTCATTGAATAGCTTTTCACAAACTGTGAAAAAAGGACAGAGGCATTTTTACATAGACTTTGATTTAGTCAAATCGTCAATTTTTCCTGCATAATTTGTTACATTTTATTTCGTATTCAATATGTTAACAATATATATTCTCAACACGGATACCTTTGATAAATTAATTGTAAAAAAGAAAGGAGCTATACACAAGTTTACGGTTAATTTTAAGGTAGATTAACTTAACGGTAATATCTACAATTAATCAAGCCTTTTAACTCATAACTAATAGGTTTCAATATAAATAGTAGGCTACTAATCAAAAGCTATACTTTCCTAACTTAAATTTTATATAACAATTACCTATGCTATCGAAAAAAGTCTCGTTCATATAGATTCGGGTTCAAAATTCTTAAAGTTTTATGATTTGGAAACTAATAATGAATATCTAATCTATAGAACCAAAATAAGGATGTCCTTTTATAGCAGTAACTTATTTATGATACATGTCACAAGGTATATCACGTTTTTAAAACTAAAATTTTTCCTTGGTAAATCAATAGGTACCTTTTTCAAGCAGACTACGATGTTAGATATTCTGAGAGAGATTCTGATTTCTATTTGGATTAAATCGAGCGTAACGAGTTGTCCTTATAAGGTCTTCTTTTCTCAGAACCATCAGCAAAAGTCACTTCTTCGTATACTGTTCAGGGAATAAAAATATGATCATAGAATTAATATTCAGCATCAATACTTTGGTTCATTACAAATGTTGGCTTTAAAATATAAAGGACCTTTTTGAGAGTTATGGTTTATCGAAAACAATTTTAGGCTTTATTGTTCTAGGGGTAGAAATATGTCTTCCATAAATTGTCAAGGTGTAGTTATTGTGCATCAGCAGTTTTTTTTTATTTAAGATTTAGGATGTTCAAAAGGGATTTTAATTCTCTGTGTTTGTGTTTTCCCTTGTGTGTTGTAAAACATACTAAAACCTAATTTCATTGCTAAAATAATAAGGACTTCGTTTATAAAACTTTTAAAAGAGGTGCAATAAACTATACACAAACTTAATACCCGTGCTGTAGCAAACCTACAAACTAAATTAATTTTAATTTGTCCGATTGGATTCAACCAAAACATTTCCATAAACAAGACACATTTATTCCCCAATTAAATTACATTAGATTTACGAATACTTAGGTTTGCTACTACGGGGAAGGGAACACGTATTTTTTACGAAATATTAATTGCATAGGATGAATAAAGAAATTTGCCAAATTTGATCAATGTCCATAAACAAAAGAGCTACAATATGTTTTTTTTTCTTCATAAGAAATACATGGGGATTATTTGGTATATACATTTTTGGTTGATTGTTAGCATTATGACTACTCCACCCAGCCACTGTTACTTGCAAAGATTTTACAACCAATTTACCAAATTCAGTTTTAACAGTTTCATTCATTTACAATCCCGTTTATTGTTCTTCAGCTGAGCGAATGGAGATCCTGCGAGGCGGAAGACAACTCCATCGACGGCAGCGGGGTGGAGCCCGGGTGCGCTCCTCACACGGAGGGTGTGCGACTCAGGGTGGAGCGATGGGGAGAGTGTAGGCCTTCGCCCCACGAGGTGTGGGATGGCGAGAACAGCGACAGAGCTGACAACTACTACAAGCACTGGCCCCAGGTCGGCACCCAGAGGAGAGAGTTCACATGTCTGAATGTCAACGGGACTACAGTTCCCCTCAGGTTAGACTTATCTTGAGTTGGAATAAAGATAGATTTAAGATACAAGAGTAATTTGATTTCAGAATATCTCTCAGGTTGGTGGTTGCGAATTTTACAACTTTTGTCTATCCTTCATGCGTAGACCTTCGCGACCGGTAGCATTGAAATCCATGGTGATGGTTTTCGGCGTCAACCGCGTCGTCAGTAGTATTTCACTGCCAGACGTTTCGCCCTCACTATGAAGTGGCATCCTCAGTGGCTAGGCTGAGACTGAGACAGTGTTGTCTATACTTGTTCGACACGTAGCTGACAAATGTTTTCTATTCTCGAAACGAACTGTACAACCATTACCTGCCCTTGTTGTTTCCCGATCAAGTAGTGGACAACATTCCAAAATGAGGTTAAAGAGTTGAACAGGTATTGGACAACATCTTGACTCCATTGAAAACATCAGTGCTTAATTTATATTTAGGTTTGATCAGTGTAGGAGCAAACAAGGAAGAATGGAAGAAATGTTACATTAGGTTGGATCGAGTTAGTTTCAGCTATGTAAGGTTGATTTTTGTCGTTTATAAAATTTCAAGTAATCAGATTGGATTTGTTTATGTTTGCGGTATGTTTTTTGGGGTTTTGAAAGGAAGCTGACCAAACTCGGACTCGTTCGTCTGTATCTTAGACTTTTACTTTTATTGCTTTATTACATTTATCTTAAAAAGCATTAGTAAGTGATAGTCCAAAGACAAATGACAACTTTAAGTGAGTCGGTGGCTCAGTCGGTAGCGTCGCGGACTTCGAGCCCAAGGCAGTAGTGTCGTGGGTTCGGATCCTGGTCACTGCCGATAACATTTTATCGGGAGACGGAACTCGTGACATAATCCTACCCGGGTATTGTTGAAGCTAATCGCCTGATTTATGGCCTTTCCTGGTAGTTGAGGGGTAGCAAGCGCTAGAGTGGGGGTTGAGCGAGACAGAAGATCGAGTTTGTTGCCCCCAGCGACACCGGACGGCTGACGTTCCCAGAAGGGTTGACATTACAACAATTCGACTTAAAGTATTTGAATGGACTTCCGTTAACAAATAATGAGATGAAGGGAATCAGTGTTTAGTAATAGGAAAGGTAAAGGAAATATGAGTGATTAGCGTACAAGGGTTTCATTTGCTATTTCTTAGATATTCCAGTATATATATGTAATATTTATGTCATAGTTTATTTATTTGAGTCGTAAATTAAGACTTGTTGAAAGATTTGTTTATACAAAATAAGAAAATCATAGTTTTGTACGGTATTGAACAAGTTCTATTCAAATCTTTACTGCAAACGTCACATTCCGAATACCAATTGTGTGACGAGAAAATACGTCATCTAACCAGTCACTAACCAGAAAAGATTTCATCAACTGATGTTGATGAAAATCTATTTCTGGTCATTTATGATCTAGTAGTGACTTAGTTATGTCAATTCTGTTAAACTATAGGGTGTTAAGTAACTCTCTACCAACCTTTTAGAATATAATGTCTGTGTTAATAACGAATTTATAAATACAGTATCACATTTAAAGCACCTGTAAATCAATGGTTACACACAGAGCCACCATTTTGTTTTTAGCGAATTTCCCTATAGGGGAGTAGCTATTACCGTAGGTCTCATGGTAAGACTTAGGCCCGGGACCGATTTACTTTTTCATTTTGATGTCCCCAGAGGCCAAAAACACCATTCGTTCAAATTTTTATATATGTATATATATATATATAATATATATATATATATATATATATAGATTTATATATATATGTGTCCGTGAACACGATAACTTGAGTATTTTTTATCCGATTTTGATGAAATTTGGTTTGAAGGTGTAAGGCGGGATAAACTTGAATGAGTTCGTGATCCAGCATGATCGGATCATGGGAACAGGGTTTTATGGGGGGTTTTATGGGGTAAAAATTGGGTTTTCTCACTTTTGACCCTCAAAACACAAAGTTTTCCAATTTTTCTCTAAACCTTCTTAATGAGCTTAAAAAAACAAACAATTCAGTATATCAAAGTGTTTTTGTACGGTTGTTGGTTACGGAGAAAACTAAAAAAATTGTAAATTTAAAATTCCCATGTTATTCTTATGGAGAATATTGTAAAATGTTGTAGTTTGCTTGTTTATGGATATCTTTTGTTCAAACTTGGCAAATATATTCATTTTCTACTAAGCAATAATTATTTTACTTAAAACACAAACTTTATTAGTTTCCTTGTAGCAGCAAACCTAGGTACTCGTTAAACCTAATGTTATTTAAATAGATCGATTGAAAATCAATTCAGCCAAATGGAAATTCGCTTAGACGGCAGGTTTGCTGCGGCGGGGGTATTTTTATATCCATGTTACTTAAAATTTTAAATTGTAAATAAATGTTAATGCTAGTACGATTAGTTTTTGCAAGGATATATTACAATTTACAAATATAAAATTTAATACGGCAGCCTTTAAAAATTTGTTAACAGTTGTAACATTAAACCAGAAAATCTTAAAATAAATACAATAATGCTTTTTACTGTAAATTCTGACACAAACGTAATGACACATCGACATAGAAAATCCAATTTAAAATGACCGAGATATGGCATTTTTGTGGCGTGTCTAGAAAGCTGTAATCGTGCGTGTGGTATAAGTACTTGTCTGCAACTATGTGACCAACAAACCAATACAATAGATTCATATGTTAGTCAACGAATCATCTAAATAGCATATTACAAATACCAAATACCGTACAAAGAAAAAGGGAAGAACAATCGGATTAATATCATTGATTATAATTTACTACAAAATGAAATGCCAATAATTATGGTCGGCGGAATAAGGCTGATGCACCATTGACTTTAAATAATCCAAATAGCTATTCCATTTATGTGAACCAAATCTAGGCCTACGTACAATTGAGTTTGGATACTGCAAGTAGACATTCCATTGACGTGAACCAGGCGTACCATTGACTTTGGATACTACATAGACACTCCATTTATGTGAATCAAATATGAACCACTGCTTTGGATACTCCAAGTAAACAATTCGTATAATTAACTTGGAATACTGCAAATAGACATTCCATTTATGTAAACCGTCAATGGCGTACCATTGACTTTGGATAATGCAAATAGGCATTTTATTTTTTCGAACCAAATGTATCATTGACATTGGATACTGTAATTAGACATTTATGAGAACCAGATGAAGCATATGCTTTGGTTTCTGCAATTAGACAATTCATTTGCGTGAACCAGACTTATAATTGACTTAGAATACTGCAAATAGACATTCCATTTAAGTGAACCAAATATACCATTGACATTCGATCTGCAAGTATTTAATCTCATTTGCGAGGAACAGATGTAAAATTGACTTTAGAAAAGTATTGGATTAATATGCTAGCTCCGCTCAATATTGCAAGCATACAACTGCATTGCACACCTAGTTAATAAAATTGTTTACACCATCTGAGTAATAAAAGACGGTTTAAACGGCAAAAATATAAGTGTATGCTACAATTATGTATATTATTTTATACGTGCATTTTTCTACTCGATTTGTATATATTGTAAGTATTTACTTTATTTACAAAATAATGTTAGGCAGATATTGTATCCTCCAGCTGTAAATATATCTATTATTATTTTTGTTGAACAAATAAATACGGTTATTCTGTTTAGGTATAATACTGTTTGTTTTTTTCCTATCTCGACATTTATATTTGATTTGAACGTTACATTATATAACTTGTCCATTAAAGTTAAAGGCCACAATCTACCATCTTTTTATTAAGAAAAGCGATTTTTCCATTAACAGCAACTAATTTATAAATAGCCCCGCCGCAGCAAACCTGTAAACTAATTTAGATTTGCAAGATCGAATTTTCACTACAATATCTACTTAAGGATGTCTCATATTTATTCCCTATTTAAATAACATTAGTTTACGAGTACTTAGGTTTGCTGCTACAGGGAAGGTAATAAAGTGTTTTATTTAGGTGAAATACTAATAGTTTAGTATGAATTAAATACTTCTTTTTCAAATTTGACCATAATTTGTTCATAAACAATCAACAGTTTACTTAAAGCACAGAATGTAAGTACAGAGAGGTCTAAAAACACTATTGATACATTTAGGCTATTTGCACAATATACTGTTAACTCACAATACGGTAAATAAATATCACCACAAAGACATAAAAAACTATAAACACCATTGGATCACAATGCAATGGGGTGAGTTGTTGATCAGTTCGATCCTTATGGCTGAATTTTTACCTCTTTCCTTCTCTTCACCCTACATCACTTTCACTCTCTACACCTCGCACTGACTTCCCCTACATTGGCGTCTCACCCCCTCCACTGTCCTACGCTTATTCATCTTCAACCCCAACGCAGGGACGGGTAGCGCTGACAGGTCAGCCGAGCGTCGCTAATAGGATTATCGTATGTCCAGAAGGCCTACACCCCATTTTATCAGTACAGTTCACCTTTGTACTGTACCGGCTCACTCCTTGCTTTGCTGTAAACGATCCACGCACGGGCGCTTAGTCTATGTGGACGGGCAAATGCCAGGTTAAAAGAGGCCGCCAACCTCTTTTTTAAATAAGAAAAAAAAACAAAAAAAAACGAGTCCCATGGGGGTCAAATTAACTATTTACTACTTTCAAAGTGAATTTTAAAAGTATGAAAGCAGATATCTTTAAGTAGTCCAAATTAAAAATAATAAAATAGGTCTACTGTTTTTTTTGTGTTTGTAAAGAGCTCTACAAATTGATATTTGTTACCGGTTTTACCCAACATTCATTTGATACAAACCATCAAATAGAACAATAAAAGTATAAGTTAAGTTAAAGAGCCGTTTTCGACTAGGAAATGAATATCATCTGTTCAGTGGTCATTCTCCCTTGAAAATCTGTTTATTGTATTCTGGGATAAAAACCTGCCTTTAGAAAATTAAAAGAAGAATTAGAAATTAAACCTTAATAAACTCCAATTTAGTTGC